GGCGCACTATTTGTTTTCTCTCTCTGACCCACATAGACAAAACGCATTACAAAGAATCATTTTTTCTATGTCTTTAAGTAATTTTAGAGTAAAACCTTCCATTACAAAAAAGATAAAGAATAATATTTTTGAGGGAATGACATATCGATTTTATATTTTATTGATATTTGACTTTCAAAATAAACAAAAAAACACTGTACATTTAAATAATGTTTAAATTATTAAGAAACAATATTTAGACAAATCGATATGTCATTGCCTCAAAAATATTATTTTCTATCTTTTTTGTAATGGGAGGTTTTACTCTAAAATTACTTCAAGATATAGAAAAAATGATTCTGCGTATATACGTTTTGTCTATGTTACGAGTGAGCCAGAAAGAGAAAACAATTAGTGCGCTGACATCCTCTTAAGAATGACTAAAAAAATGTAAACTCGGGTTTTGAGTCGGAAACACTTTTATTCAAATGTAAAACAAACACAAATAAATAAGTCACTTGGCAAATTCAGATTGCCYATGTAGCCCGTAGTCCGTACTRCGGTTGACGTTTCACACGTACAACCGTCGTACCTACGGGCTCGCCGAATCACTCGACCGCCCTGGACTGGACTCGACCGCGGTGTTATATAGTAAAATATATTGATGCCTCAGCACATCTTGATTCATTGGCCTGACCTATATTAACGATTTACAAAAAAATAAAATATTCCCACCTATATTATGTATATATTACAGTGACGACTGTCTACAACATACGACATTACTTATTAGTTATTACTGTTTGTAGTGTACAACAAAAATTACAATTTCATCTCAAATCTTAGATGATCCTTAAAAGCAGGAAATATGGTGACATTAGAAACTTTTATTTAATTATACTATGTAGTATATACAATGTATATTGTACCCACAAAATAATTTTTAAAAATCAAGTTTTCTTTTTTTACTAGTTAATTCATCAATTTCTAAAGTAAAATCTCGGTGAATTGATTATGTTACATTGTTACACCGCAATGACTGTTAACATATTTATGAGGCCTTTTACAGAAAACATTTTATATTTTAAAGTTCCTGCTGTATATAGCTGTATATAATGGAAGAATAACTATTCAACTATTTATTTATAAAATATTTTAAGAGATTTTTATTATTTGGTATTATTACTTGTATATTTATTTATGAAATGTTTTACTGTATTAAGATTGTGTACYTCGTGTTCTGTGGCATTAGAGGACAGAGGAACTATGCAATTTTTAATTATTTTTTTAAGACATTGTAAAATAGTTTACTGATAAATATAAACATCTAATTCATAATATAACATATGTCATAAACTCATAACTAATAAGTACCTAATATACACTTATTGGCATTTAAACTTTTTGTACTTTGTAAGAACTTGTACATATAATTTTCCTACGTTGTAGGAACTCGCCTTTTTTACCATGTAGGAACTCGCCTTTTTTACCATGTAGGAACTAACTTCTGTATTTTTTTAACCCACTAGGTAGTGATCAGTGCCCAGTAGGTTCCGAGTGGTATAGTTGGTGGGTGGGCGAGAGGAATTATTGACATTTTATAATTTGTAAATCTTAAAAATAAACTAATTATTATTTAATATAGGTAATATCAAATACTTTTTAATTTTTATATACTTAGTGCCTTAGTGGTTATTGTGGTAATTATTTTTTATAGTTTACCCCAATAAATGAAATACACGTTGAATATTATTATTTATTATCGAGTATTCCGTTTAGGTATTTACCATTTTTATTTTATTATATGCATATTATTATATTTATATTATATTATGAATTTATACTTAATAGTTTATACCATTATTGATGTTAATTGTTGTCTGTTATACAGTATAATAATAATACAACGATTATCGATAACGTCTTGTTTCTAAAGAAATTAAACTTTGAAGTCGTAAATGTTAATTTAGTATTAAATTATTAATTAAATATGAAATATTTTATTTCAACTGTTAAAGGAATTTTTTAAGACTAAAGGTTATCGCTGATAAATGTTTATTTGAAACATCGTTTACATCAATATTTACTACATAATATTAGTATATTGCTAATATTACTAATGATTAATGAAACACTTGCACGTGTTACGAAAAAATATATTATGTCCTTTGTCCTTAAACTCTAAAGAGCTTCAATAATATAGCCTGGTGTCTAGTATAATGTTACACACAATRGTACAATACAGTCTGATCTCTGATCACCATTCAAGGTAACACTAAATAGTAAATATCTTGTCCGGATGAACTTGTATTGTGATTAATTTTGGGGGGAACCTAGGACTAGGAGGAGTAGGAGGTACTGAATTACWTGTTTTGTGAAATTTATTTTCAAATTTTATATTTTGAAAATCATTCAATTATTATTTATTTATAGAAAATTTAAACGGGCAGTAGGCAGTAGCCCAATATATACAAAATCATACAAGACCACGTAGGTTTACAAAGTATAGTATCGTTAGTGTACTTCTTACATGCACGTAACCAGGATTTTATTTTTATTTTTTT